TGAAGCCATCTAACTTGTTAGTCAACCGTAAGGGTGAAGTAAAGATTACTGATTTCGGGGTAAGTGCAGTGCTAGCAAGTTCAATGGGTCAGCGGGATACATTTGTTGGAACCTACAACTATATGGCGGTATGTTGAATTAGTTATTTGTTTCATGTGATTGCTCTTTTTCTTTCATTAGTAACTGGGATGCTTAAAGGTGTGGTGACAATTTTTATTTTAATTCCTTCTTCAGCCTGAGAGGATTAGTGGAAGCTCTTATGACTACAAGAGTGACATATGGAGTTTGGGCTTAGTAATACTTGAGTGTGCCATTGGTCGGTTCCCCTATATTCCTTCAGAAGGAGAAGGCTGGCTAAGCTTCTATGAACTACTGGAAGCTATTGTTGATCAACCACCACCTTCTGCACCTGCAGATCAGTTCTCTCCAGAATTCTGTTCATTTATCTCCTCTTGGTATGAAAAACATCCCAGTCAATACCTTTCTGTCTGCTATCTTGCCCAGTTAATCTGAATCAAAACCTCTTTCATATATTTAAATTGATCTTGCAATGTAACTATTGGGAACACACTGCAATTGACACGTAATTGCTTAAGTTGCTTCAGTCTGGAGCTGTAGTTTGTGGATTAAGCAAGGAAAACATAGGATTCAATGCTACGAGCACAATATGTTTCTTACACTTCAATTGACACATAATTGCTCAGTTGTTCTGTTATTCTGGCTTAATTTTTATGCCATGCTATATTACATAGGCACGCTGAAATTCTATCTTAATCTTTAACAAAGGTAGGTTGATTACTCCTTCAGCCCTTGATAGTTGCTACACGAAATGGCTAAATTTTGAATTTTGGGTCATTCACACTTCACTTAGTTGCAAGTCTTTACTGTGCCTGGCCATTATGTCTGACAACAACAACAACAAAGCCTTTTAGTCCCAAGCAAGTTGGGGTAGGCTAGAGTTGAAACCCAACATGAGCCTCTAGTCACGGTTCTGGCCATTATGTCTGAGGTAAAAAAAAAAATTGATTGAGACCAGCCATTCCACTATTCACTTGGTTTCTAGATTAACAAAGCATGACTTTGGTTGTGAGAATCTACCCTACAAAACTTTTGTTCTTGTAATACTGGCTATATTCCAGTTCTGCCCCGTGGTGTTAAATTTTGCATAGATGTTAAGAAAATATCATTAGTGATTCATGTCAACAGTGTATGCTGCACTGTAGTCTTATATTTTGCTATATTATTTTGCAGCATACAAAAGGATCCAGCAGGAAGGATGTCTGCTTCAGAACTCTTGGTCAGCATGCTTTTCTTTGATTGAATAGTTTCCTAAATAAACTATTTGCCATTATTGTTGCACAATTCCTTTTGGTAACTTGTCTTGAGTTGCTATTTCTGTTGTTGCAGAATCATCCTTTTATCAAGAAATTTGAGGGTAAAGATTTAGACCTGCGAACTCTTGTGGAGAGCCTGGAACCTCCAATGAACATACCCGAGTAGCCTAGGTTCAATGATACTTGATCCTTCTGCAATGTATTCAAGGTCGCTGTCGCGGCCTTTGATATCAGGACACTTTTTTCCTGCATCCTGTCCTTGAATGAGAAAAGCTGTGTGTATGTTCTTGACCATGCCAGAGAACTCTCCAATGCATCATTGTAAGTTTGTAACACCCAAGGCCCTTTTGTTGTGTTTCAGAATGCTTCTTGTGACTAGTATCCCTTGAAAAGGCAATTGGTCACCATGAATGGTTTGGAGACGAATTGAATTGAGTACTTCTGTAACCATCAAATGGAGAGGAAAAAACATGTAAAAGGGTGTTGAAAGGAAGGCAGAAAGTCATCATATATCTTGGCATCCTAATGATGACGCCAGCAAATTTTTGGGCTGATCACTCAATAATTAGCTAGAGAACATATCCCCTCATTCTTTTAATCCAAAAAGATGCAAGGATATGCTTACCAATTGAGACATGCTGATTAATAACCATAGCTTGTTTCAGCTGTTGCCATCACACGTCAGTGAATATGCTTAGTGATAAGCTGGACATCATCATTCAGTAATCGTCTAGAAGCTCTGAAAGAATCACATCGATGTTGTTTAATGATAAGCCAAGGGCTATCAAGGATGGATGGATCTGATGATGATGAGGGTACTCCTCAGTAGTTAAGCGACTAAGATTGTCTACCGTCTGATCCTTTCGTTTCACTTCCTATCAGATATTGACATGCAGGGATTAGCTCTTGTTACTTGCATAATTATCAGTACTTATCAGTGTCTTTATATTATTCATGATAATCAATTAAGGATATGACTCTCAAAGCAATGGTAACTTAGCATTGTACAGACACAAAGTCACGAATATATCCTGAATCGACACTGAATAGAGTGTCATATCTTGAATTATTCCTTATTGTTCCGTGTAGGAGTTTCTTGTCCTCTGATGGAAACAGGTGTCCTCAACCTCACCAGCTGATGTTCATAGTTTTGATACTCATCAATACAGTAAAACTGTGTACACTTTAAACTTGGACCATTAATATCTCTTCAACTTGTCTAGTCTAATACTAAACTTCGTAAAAAAAAAGTATCACTGGATTTATCTTGGAAAATAGTTGCAAATAGTACTCCCTCCGCTTTTTTTTTTACAAGGAGATTTTTTATTATTATTATAAGACTTCTTGGATCGACCATTAGTCTAGGAATATTTCATCCATGCGATACAAAATTATGATAATGAGTAGTTAACTTTTAAGAAAAATGTAATGGCATCAATTTTTCGTTGCAAAAGTTATACATTGGTAGAACAAATCAGAACTTGCGTTGTCTGGACCAAATGAAACAAGTCTTGTACAATTTCAACTGAGGGAATATGACTTGACTAAGGGCATCAAAGTGATAAAGACGTACCCCTAAAGACCTCAAGAGTGTTTCTTAAACCCACTCTCTACATCATTATCTGGAGAGCCATTTGAATAAAAAACGTTCTTTATATATACGATAATGATGTGGCCCGACCGTCCGTTCGGATGGACGCTCCGTTCCAAAATGCGCGTGTCGTCTAAGCGCCGCTGCCGCCGGCCCCACCTATTCTCTGCGTCGTCGCCACGCCCCCACCCCGCCCTCTGCGCGCCGCCACCTCCACCCCCACCAGTCCTATGTGTCGTCGTGCCCGGCCCACCCTACCCTCTGCACGCCGTCGCCCAGCTCCGTGCGACTTGTGCAGCGTTGCCTTTTGCGCGCCACCAAGCTCCACGCCGACGAGATCCGCGCCACCAACATTTGTGCCACCTCCCACCAGCGAGCTCCACACACCGCCGTCGAGCTCTGCGTGCCGATGAGCCTCCATTCGCCTAAGCCGAAGGAGATGTCCCTCTGAAAAGCATATGTTTCGAATGTTTCAGATGTTTCAAGCGCATGTTTCATGTGCTTCAGGCACATGTTGCAGGTGTTGTGTTACAAGGAGATGTTGCTCTGAAAGCCTATGTTTCAATTGTTTCAAGTGTTTCGAGAGCATGTTGCAGGTGCTTCAAGCGAATGTTGCAGGTGTTGTGTTTATGGATGTTGCAACAACGATATTATACATGTTTTAACAGTAATGTGGGCATGTTTCAGTAGTACATCTCTGACGTTGCAGCAACGATATTGCACATGTTTCAATAGTAATCCGGGCATGTTTCATTAGTACATCGCCGATGTTGCAGCAGTGGGCCCCAAGGGCATCCGTGCGGAAGGCAACATCCTCCGCGCACTGTCGTCACCGCCGCCCCCACTCATCCTCTGTGTCGCCGCCGTGCGCCCACCCCACCCTCTGCGCGCCGCTGCCGTCCTCCCCCTCTCGTTCTCTGCGCCGTCACAGCGTCCCATCCTGCCATTTGCACATCATCGCCCAGCTCCGTGCGATGCCACCTTTTGCATGCTGCAGAGATCCTCATCGCCGGCGAGCTCCACTTTGCTGCCGAGATTCACGCCCGGACGCTCCGTCCCAAAACGCACATTCTTCTGTCCTCTGCGCACTACTGTCGTGCCCCACCCATCCTTTGCGTCGTCGCCAGCACCAACGGGAAACAGAGCAGTCGCGGGGCGTCCAAACATGGGCATCCGGCCGAACATTCTGGGCGCTAGTCGTTCCTATATATATATATATCTCTTTCCACCCTCCAAAATGCCCTAATTAAGGTGTAGCAGTGTCTTGTGACTATATCGCCATCCAAAATCGACACTTATTTATGACTGGAATACTGGATGGACTGAGAATAATTACGTTAGAGTGCTAGATACGTATATACGATAATTATTACTCCCTCCATTCCAAATTGTAAGTCATTCCAAAAATCTTGGAGAGTCAAAGTTTTTCAAGTTTGACCAAATTTATATAACAAAATAATAATATTTATCATACCAAGTAAGTATCATTAGATTCTTCATTAGTTATATTTTCATATTATACCTATTTGATGTCATCAATCTTTATGTTTCTCTCTATAATTTTAGTCAAACTTGAAAAAGTTTGACTCTCCAAGATTCTTAGAATGACTTACAATTTGGGATGGAGGGAGTACTATTAGATGTGATATATATGGCCTCTATCATGCGGGCGGCACTGACGAGCGTCACCCCGCACCATTCCGCGCTCACCTGCCCTCTGCTCAATCTCAATCTCTTAGCCATCCATCCATACGCCATGTCCACCATGCATTATACTATGCTCTATGCTCTACTAGCTCTCTCGCCCTCTAGCCCAACTACCCAAGTGGACCTCATATAAAGGGGAGGCCAGCTGAGCCCAGGGAATCAAGCAAGCTATAACAAGCTGCCTGCTGTTTCTTCTTCTTCCTCCTTCCTCCTCTCGATCGATCGAGCATCCAAAGCTTGGTCTTTGTTTCTGTCGCTGGACGTACTACGGAGGTAGCAAGCTAGCTAGCAACCGATCGACCATGTTGTCGTCCTTGTTGTGTAGCCGCAGGAACCACAAGAAGGACGGCGATGGCGAGCAGGTCATCATGAGCACGGCGGCGGCGGCGATGAGGAAGGGCCCGTGGACGGATGAGGAGGACGAGCAGCTGGTACGGTTCGTGCGCCTGTTCGGCGAACGCCGATGGGATTTCTTAGCAAAGGTGTCAGGTTTGCACGGTGGCGGGTGCGTCGATCGATCCCTCCATCCATGCCTACCATCTGCAATTCTGCATGCATGCATGAGGAGGATCGGTCGACCCAGTGAGATCTCCATCGAGCAGTGTCGTTAACCATTTGCTTCTTCTTCTTCTTCTCCTCCCTCTCTGCAACTGCATGCGGCTCCTCTTGTGGATGGGCGTGGTGGTGGTACGTGCAGGTCTGCGGCGCACCGGCAAGAGCTGCCGCCTCCGGTGGGTGAACTACCTCCACCCGGGCCTCCGGCGCGGCCGCATCACTGCCGACGAGGAGCGCCGCATCGTGGAGCTCCACGCGCAGTGGGGAAGCAGGTGGTCGCGCATCGCCAGGAGCTTGCCCGGACGCACTGACAACGAGATCAAGAACTTCTGGAGGACGCGGACCAGGAAGAAGGCGCTCGAGGAGAGGAGGGCGGCTGCCGGTGCGGGTGCGGCCGCGACAGCCACAGAGGAGCCGGCGTCTTCGTCGTCCTCGGTGACGACATCCGAGTGCCGCCCCGGATCGTCCCCCACCAGCGGCGCGGCCACCACGGCGTCGTCCTCTTCGGGCTCGTCGTCGTCGCTGCGGGAAGGCCGCTGCGGAGACGACGACGGCGACTGCGACGATGACGCGGAGCTCGAGGAGGCGTCCACACCCACCGCGGCGCCGGCGACCAAGCATGAGCAACAGCAACCGCAGCCGCAGGAGTACTACGACGGTTGTTCCACCATGGACCAGCTGTGGAACGAGATCGCGGCAGCCGACGCTGCGGCGATGAGCTACGTCGTCGACGCCTGCTGGAGCGGAGCTGGTCACTATTACTACAGCGCTGCCGCTGAGCCGCCGCCGGCGTCGCCGCCGTGGGAGTACTGCGGCTCAGATTTTTCGCTCTGGAGGATCGACGACCAAGAGTACTACAAGAAGATGCTCGACTCCTCCTGATCCGATCCAGGCGCTAGCGCTACATGCACGATTCATCATTTGGTACTACGTGCTCAGTGAATTTGCTAGCTCAACCAAGCGAGCAAGGAACGAATTGAAGACGGTAGGGATGATAGATTAGATCATCATCTATATATCTTTAAGAGCTTATGAATTTAGTAGATCATGGTGGTGAAATGAGAGCACTGTGTATTAATGGTGGTTACTTCAAACTAGTGTGATCGACTGAATATTTATAGTTTGCATTTGTCTGAATCTATCGATCCATCGATCTCCTGATCGACGATACTTGTATATTGTGTAACCTCTACTTATTAGTTACTACTTGTTGTGGCTTAAAAGATGGATGAAATGAATTGAAATATGTCGGTGAGTTTTACCATGTGCATTTGCAGTTATATGTTGCACTCTTCGTGATTATTAGTATTATTAGGTGCGATGACAAAAGAATAAGCTCAGATCCATCAAGCAGAACAATAATCAGTTGTGATTTCACCAAAGCGAGTACAGAGTATGTATAGATAGATTCTCACTCCATTTTTGCTCTATATATGTGCTACTTATCATAAGTTCATAACACTGAAGAAACATACAAAACCAAATTGAAAATATTTATGTCATGCAAACAAGGAAAAGAAATTACTATTAATTGATCCACCAAAACTTCACTAAAGCTTGTTGCCTTGACTGAGAGTTCTCATCATGGAATTTCAGTTTGACCGCTCCTGAACACGAAGCTAAAAGGCAAAAAATGTCCAGGCGTACGTGTGACGCGTGTCAATATATATGCAGACTTGCAAAGAAAATAAATTAACAACAGAATCGTAGAGAGTAGTACAGAATCTGCACCAGGGAAATTGAAATTTATACCATGGAATAATTCCAAGAGAGTGCACGCATGATGCATGCATGGCGGCAGTGGTTGATTGCTTGCTGCATGGGAATCTAATAATGGGATACTAGCTCCCAGCATCTGTGATTACAAAGAGCTAGAGAAGAGATGCTTGGAGAGAGATCAAAGAAGAGAGGGCCAGCAGGCAGCAGGAGGAGGAAGAAGTGCAGCAGCCTAGCCTAGCGCCATTGTTGGTGCATGTCCCTATCCAAACTTTTTCCTTGCGTGTGCAGTGCTGCCACCTTTCCATCCCTCCAATCGTGTCAGACTCAGATTCCAAACCCCATCGCAGACTAACACTAGATTTGATACTATATAGCAAGTGTATGTGTGAGAGTGATCGATGGAGATTAGTGGGTGATCCACATCGCCTGTACGTGGGACCATACCCTGGACAACGAAAATGCTACACGCACACAGAAAAAAAAATAGTATCTATGTAAATGTCCATTTAATTTACGGCACATCAGCCTTTTTGTTCCTTTTGTTTCCTGTTTTAATTTGGCTAGTGTTTTGTTTGCTTTCCTGTCTAATAATATAGCATGACAAATCTCTTTTAGTCCTTTTGGAACAAAAACAATGTCCACCTGACCTCCTAAACTTTACTTTTCATGCTCGGCATATAAAAAATTCTGATGGCTAAAACCATCGGGAATTACTCAAATACATGTAGGAATGCAATTCCAGAGAGCAAACCATGAGGAATTTGCCGACATGAGCCGATAATCAGGAATTTGTTTACTTTAATCCTATGATTTCTTAAAATCAGGTCAATATTCACCTTTGCTTGTGAGCCAATTCCCGTTTTAACCTGCTTGGATTAGTCTTCATGGATCACTGCAGGTCTAAACCTAGCATCACTGCCAGAATCAGACACGGCAGAGTGTAATCGGTATTAATGAGCTTTCCCATCTTCCCAGACCCAGCAATGGTAGGAAGATTGAACAAATGTGCATCCAATGTCATCATGTGGACTAGGAGGATAAGAAGTTTGGTACACTAACTTGTGTGTCTACTGCCAAACACCGCATATATACTAATAACTGTAGTTGCCTACTAGTAACCTTAGATTGTAAATGAAGGCTAAGAAACTCCACCGGTTCTTCTATCCTCTTTCCCTTAATAAAATGCCCTATAGGGGATTGAGGAAACTGAATTACAGGATATAGGGGAGTGCTGTTGCAGCAACAGATTGAGTAAACTTCATCACCTTTATTATATGGACCCACATGTCAGTGACAGACAGGGGAGGGAAGGGGATTGAGTAAAAAGGCTGCTTGCTCCCCTCTATTTGAGGAATTGATGGGAGGTTTTGTGGGTTGAGAAAAAATATAGGGAAAGAGGATTGAGAAAGGAGATCTGTTGGAGCAGTTTTTTTCACCTCATTCCCCTTTATGGAAATTTTTAGGAAAAGGTGATTGCTTTTCTCAATCTGGTGGAGTTGCTCTAATGACTTTATTTTAAGAAACAAGGGTGAAGAAACCAAATCAAAGATTAAGGGTTACACTCTGAGCATCAGTTAGGGGAATAAATTTAAATGGACTTCTTAGAAAAAAGCTTCTTATATGACTTTCTCCGTAAAACCCCTGCTACAACCATGGTGGTTCATAAAATTCATTTTTCAATCACATGCAAGTAACTAAGTAAGCAACACCTAAGTGACACAACCATTATATATGATCTCCTTATTATAATAAAGGGACTCCTCAAAGGCAGATAAGTGTTTTCAAGCCTATCAAAAGCTTTTTAGGTTTGAAATTGAGTATTCAGAGTCTAGGGTTTCACCGACAGGAGCATCTCCAAGAGTTTTTCTTAAACTCACTCTCTAAATCCTCATTTGAAGAGCTATTTGCATAAAAATCGTTCTCTATATCTTTCCACCTTCTAAAAGTTTCTCTATATCTGGTCTGTACTTTGGAGAGCCATCTCCGCTCTTCATCAGTGAGAAAACATGAACAGAATTATAAGATGGCAATATTTGAAGATTTAATTGAAGAAGCTGTTGAAATGTTGTTTTTTTCACCAAATTAAAATCTCTATTCCTATTAAAGAGACACTTGAAGTTGCTCTAAGAGGTGGCAACCTTAGAAGGAAGGTCGCTGACTGCAAGCAGGTTTGGGGTGGTGGCGGGCATAGAGCCGACAATGCAAGGCTGCCTTTGTATATCATCGGTTGGTACGGTGGAATAGGGTAGGCAGAGGGCCATGCATCGAGCTGAGAGGGGCTATAGTGTGACTGTAGCCGCCAATGACAGTGAGGGTTGAGAATTTTTTTTTTGAGTGTTTAGATGAGTTTGCTAGCGGGGGTTGAGAAAAAAAGAAGAAGGATCAACGATAGGAAGACAAGGAAGAAGAAACGCCAGGGGAGTTGGATCAACGATGTTGAAAAAATTGAGTGTTTAATTTTTTACCCCTGCAGGTAATAACTGTTCATAGCCCCAGGTAACGACAAGGTTAAAATTTCTTCATTTGCAGGGTCCACATCATGTCAACTCTTAATGATAAGATTTATTTTTTTATACACGTACTTACGTGCCGACTCGCTTCGTTCTCTTTGTAGGGGCCTTCCGATCCGGCCTTGCAAGTTGAATGGAAGGTAACTAAAAAGGCCAAGTGGCTTTTGTGATAAAGGGAGTTGAATGAATTAAAAAGACAAGCAATGGAGTAGAAATAAACTAAAGCTGGTGATAAGGAAGCTAGGCTCTCTCTCTCCAGGGTTGCGCACAAACAACAAACAATGCATGCATGCTTCACCTTTTCTTTCTTCTTGTGCATTCAACTGCATATATATACACACACACACACACAATCTACATGCATGCATGCCTACCTTTTGGCCCAATCTCGATTAACCTAGCATTATCATCGTTAAAAAAATTTACATCCTCCACTAGCAGCCACCAGTTAGTGGTCTTTTCACCACACAGCCTTGTTTAGTGCGCGCGAGTGCATGGACGCCTGCCGGCCCTCTTTGTTGGTTGTAGCGCTGGTGTGTGTGGTACTAACACGGACAGCAGGCCGGACACGGATGCATGGTGACCTCATCACATCACATCACATCCGTTAAATATTTGTTCCCCACTGATCTCCTCTTCTCGAATTCTGGACCGTTCACCTTTATTTTTCTTGTTTTTTTTTATTTCCTTATGATATGAAACAAATTAATTGGCATCTTCTTTTCTTTCAGATGGCAACGGGTCGATGATGGAGAAAAATCGATATGTCCTCTAGTTGAATGGACATACAAGCAAGTATACCATGTGAAAGCCTAGTGGTTACAAGAGTCAGTAGCACCTTAGATCTTAAGCTCCGACTAAGTATTAGTATTCGTCGAACTGTCATAACGAAGATTGTGATAGGAACCAATATGATTAACTTAATTAATTAATTCATCGTTACATGAAAAGCTAGCTAGCTAGCTTGCCTAGCTAGTGTTAATTAACTTATTTTGCCCCCGGAGAAATAACTTATTCATCAGAATAAATATGCGCCAGATAGTATGTGGCAGAACCGTCTCATCTAATGTCTCCTATGAGTACTTATCTTTCATTAGACACTAAGTAATCAAGAGAGGACACTAAACTACGCAGTTCCGTCGAGCACACCTCAAGGAAGAACTCGAAAATCCATATTTTTTCGTCAGGATCATAAATGAGAGAATAAAGCTTACAATATTCTTAAGTCATTTCTTACATCACTTTGTTACAGTAATAGAATATTACCTCAATCGATTATAATAGCGGAATATAACAATGTTATCAGAGTTATAGAGGAAACAAAGATTAATTTGATGACATGGTGGAGCATTAACATAGTGGACATTTTTATACAAGAGATGCTAGCAGATTTTACATCTTTTCTTATAAAAACCTTTAGTGAGGGTTATAAATAAACAATACGGTCGTAGCGTGAAAGAAATCCTCTCAGAGCCCACTAGGAGGTTTCCACACATAAGAGTCAGCTCTAAGTATCCTCCGATCACCTGCAACAGGGGGAATAAAACCCTAAGTACTCGATTGTACCCAGCAAGACTTACTCGACAGGAGGAAAATAAAAGACTTCAAGGATATGCAAGACTATCTGGCTTGTGGGCTATTTCATCTGCAGAA